TGGTTAAAAATGTGATGAATTATGGGATGTATCTCTGGAATTAAGAAAGTTATGAATGAGAAAAGTAATAGCAATCGATTCCCGACCGAGCTGAACGTTTTGATGTTTGAAGGGAGTTTCTGCGATGTGGAATGTGGGAGAAGAAGACCGGCAAAATAATGGGTGGAATAATAAGAATAAAGAATTTTGTGTGTAGAAGAACAGATAGTTGGAATGCTGTTAACAGCATTCCCACTAAATTATAGATTGTTTGATTGTGTAATTACAAGGTGAGAGAAAATAAATCCACATCCTCCTATGAAACCTATTTTATTTACTTGTCCATGTTATACTTATACTTACTTGTATTAGAACATTTGCATGTTGAACTACATGCTGATATATCTTCCCCAGCCTCAAGGAAATACATTAAAATAAATGGATTCATCATTTTTTTAAATTGATTAAAATGTATAAATTAATAATGTTGTGTGCAAACATTTCAGATTTAAATATAAAATGAAAAAAAAGTTTACTTTTGAAAAGATTTCTCACAAAAACCTTTCTAAATTATACTAAATTATTAAAAAGGTTTAGTCAATATACGTTTTTCTGCCAAAAATAGTTTAAATTGAACGTAAACTATATCAAACACCACATGCATGGCAATTAACCCAATTAACCAATTTTTGCCCGCTATTTAAATTGACTTTGATTAGTTAATAAAAATATTGATATTATATATATATATTAGGGCTCTCAAGTTAACGCGTTAATAACGCGTTAACGCAAAAAACGCACTAATTTTTTTAACGCGATTAACGCATGTGTATTTTTTGTCCTCGGCCGCCACGTAGTTTCAGAGCGCATCGAGTTTAAAATACCATCTACAAGCTGATGCTGACAGCCCCGCTCCTGCCGCCCGCTTGTGGCAGACCACACTTCCACGCTCACCGGCAGGCCCGGACTGGCCATCGGGAGGACCGGGAGGGTGTGTGTATGTGTGGGGCAGCCATAGACTGTATATATAAAGGGCGCAGCACACCTTACGTGTTGTTGTTGTTAGCGCAGCTAGCTAGCACCAGATGCTAACGGATATAAGGAGCTGTTTCAATGAAAACAGAGGAGCGACATTTCGCCGACAACTGCGCCGAGCATTTGACTTTATGCAGGTAGCCAGACAGTGGGACTTTGTACGAAAAGTCAGCACACTCAGCACGGATTGTGCGCGCAACATGATTGCAGCGTCCAGGCAGCTCCCGTTCGAGCATATGCCTTGAGCTGCACATAGCTCCAACGATCCATCACAGTGTCCACACACACACACACACACACACACACACACACACACACACACACACACACACACACACACACACACACACACACACACACACACACACACACACAGTATTGTATGAGAGAGGTTCTAGGTTGAATTGAGGCGAATATTTGTAATGTTCAGAGGTTGTTGTGTTTAATATTCATGAGAATATTTGTCATTGTTCAAATGATAATAAACAAACATATAAAGCATATTTGTCCACTCATATGTTGATAAGAGTATTCAAAACTTGAAAAATATCCCTCTAAGGTACATTTAGAACAGATAAAAAATGTGCGATTAATTTGCGATTAACTATGGACAATCATGCGATTAATCGCGATTAAATATTTTAATCGACTGACAGCCCTAATATTATTATATAGAGTCGTTATTTATTTGTTTTAAAGCTCAAAAAATAACAAAGAAGACCTTTGACCGGCACTTTTATAATTTTGTCCGGAAGATTTAAACTTTAACAGACATGTTGTCCTGCTGTGCTGTGCTGTTGAGTGTTAATTGACATAACAACCGAAACCAGCCACATCTACGTATGCGTGCCTCATAGATGTGCTCCGGTTATTATGCATGGTACCAACTGTTGTCGGCTTCGCTGGATCTGAGGTCAGAGCTTTGAAGAACAGAGCTATGGTGTTGTTTTACTTGCAAAAAGAAAACAAGTTTAACTAGTGGTTAGTGCCAGATAGTTTCCAATTAAACTATCGGTCCTACTGAGTGAAACAACAAGCAAAACGACATCAAAACATGTTTTTTGTGTTCTAATGAAAAATAGTTTTCTTTCTGAGAACCTACACTCTGTATTTGCATCAGTTTAAGTGTCTAAACAGTACAGTCCGAAATATTTGTAACACCTGTGAGGCAGAAAGAGATGGAAATTTGCTAAATGAAATACTCCTGTTGAATGTTGCAGCGACAAGAATATAAGAGTTTTGAGATAAGGAAGTCCCGCTGGTCATACTCTTTTCATTCTGAAGACATACAGTGTTAAAATATATTTTAGATAACAATAGTCAAACCAATATCAAAATCAAGTACCAAACATTTTGTAGCAAAACTCTATCTGACATATTCTTAATTTATCAGTCATTAGCCTACTTTAATGCACATTATGGTTTTAGCTCTTTTCTGGACAAATTCAACTTTAACATGCATATGTTAGGACTAATAAGTACCTGGCCTGCTTTTAACGTTTTTGTGTTTTTTGGAACCAGCTTTAATTTAGTTAGCCTTTTGTCCATTCTTTTATACCTGCCTCCTCTAATTTTATATTGCATTTGGGTCAATTTTTTTTTTAAAACTGTAAGGACCGACCAGAAATGGACCCAGCAATTTTTGATGATAAATGTTGTGATTTGTCATACACTCTTGTATGCATTTATAGACAGTGGAAGAGAGCCTCTTGTAGACAGGTCCAAGAGGCTGCTCTTTGTATGGCTCTGTGGGCTAATAAACCCTGGCTTAAGAGTTCTTTGCCTGACTGACTAAGAGATTTTGCCAACACCCCTAAATGCAAGACTGCTAGCCTATCGCCTGCCTCTCACACTCTTACGGCTCGGGATTTTGAGTCTGAAGCCTCCTCCATGAACCCTTTTAGCCTTGGTCATTCCCCCACGAATCCCTCCTCCCACCCTGCTGGACTCTTTTGGGGATGTGTCATGGTCCTTGTTTTTGTGTTTAAATTCCTATTCAATATTTAGAAAATGATTGTATGTTTGTGTCTTGTCTTACTTCCTGTCTTTGTGTAATATATAATATGTAATTGTCTGGGTTCTTTCCACCTGTGTGTGAGCTCCATGCTGCTCTTGTGTTTACCTGCCCTCTCCAGCTGTGTCTTGTTAGTGTAATCAGTCATGTCTCTATATACCTGTCTGTCTAAGTGTTCTTTTTCAGTCCGTTGTCATTGTACCGTGAACGTTCCCCCTGATCTGGTTCTTCTTGTCAAGGTTCCTGCCCATGTTTCTTGTCTGTGTTTGTTAACTGTCAATTTGCTCCTTGTTTTTTCTGGTTTGTCCCTTGTTTTTGTTTTCCTTTTTTAAGCTGGATTTTGGAACCAGCTATAATTGTATTAAAGGTCACCTATTATGCAAAATCCACTTTTTCATGTCTTTTATACATAAACATGTGTCCCCACTGTGTAAAGAAATTCTGAAGGTTTCAGGAAGAAAGATTCGCTCACTTTTTGTCCTGATCCATTTATATAAAAACCTGTCTGAAAATGAGCCACTTTAAGTCATAACAATTTTTTGGCTTGTGTAACCATTAGCCAATCACCAACTGTTACGTGCCGCAGTTGGTGCTTGTGTGTGCTTTTGTGTGTGTCTCTCTCTCTCCCTGATTGTCCCCAGGTGCAGCCTCTCCCCAGGTGCTCCCAATCCCCAATCAGGGCCTCCATATAGGACCTGAGGAAGGCTGCAGTCGCTCTCTCCTTCTCCTCTGGCTGCATGTCTCTGTCTCTGTGTGAGGCCTGTGTTTTTGTGAAGTGTTAGGAGATGTGCTCCAGTTTGTTCGTGTATGGTTTATTTTGGTTTGCTTTGCAAGTTGGCTGGTGAGCCCTTTTTCTTTATCCATTAAAACCTCACTTTGTGGCTTTATAGCTCAGTTTCCTCTCCTTTTTTCTCTCTCCCGGTTATTTCATATGTTGTTACTTCCCTCTTGTTCCCCTAGAGCACCATTGTGTTCTTTTTAACCAAATATCTCACAGAGCGGCGCCTTATTTTCATCTAAAGTAACAGACAGAGAATCAGATCTATTGAAACAGGGCTGAAACAGAGGGGATTATGGGATGCTGCAATGCATGATCTGTTTGGTATTACGAGCCAAACACTTCAGAGACATGTTTTGTATATATCTGAGACCTATCATATATTGATGAAAAACAGTATAATAGGGGACCTTTAAGCTTTCCTGCCTCACCTCCTTTTATAATGCAATAGAGTCTTGATTTCCTCACCTATGACAAAGTCCCACAAGTGGGCCTTACTCACCGGTAAGCCAGGGGAGATACTCTGGGGCCCCCAGGCAGAAGAGACCAGTAAATACTGAAAACGGGTCCCACAGACCCAAACAGCACACAAAAGTTAAAGTGCTAAATATATACACTGCAAAAAAAAAAAAAAGAGGAGTAAAAGTAGCTCACGACTTGATTTATTTTTTGAAGGTAGCCCTCATCCTAAAAAAGGTTGGTGACCCCTGATGTAGCCTAATGCTTAGTGTACTCTGGTTAATTCTACTTACTCTACTCAGGAATGCATATTTTGATCATTTGTGAACAGTTCTAGGCCCCAGGCCTTCTCAAAATGAACAGATAATAAAATATATGCACATGGTTCTATTGCCAGTTATCAGCACCTCATCACAACCCTGGGTGTGCATTAAAATGTAAGGATTTTATATATATAAGTACTTTTACTTTCGTATTCTGAGGCCGTTATAACCTTACAGGGAGAACTTCTTCCTTCACTTCTGTAAAAACCTGGTCGTGTAGAAAACAAGCTGACATTACCTTGGTCAAATGTTTTACCCTGAGGCTTAACTGTACGCTTACAAACTGTACATCAGTGAGCAGACACGCCTTAAAGAAAAATGCAATCATGTGACAGGTACAGTTGTGATAACAGGCGGTGGGGGCTTGATAAAGGTGTGTCTCTGATAGAAGAGATTTAAGGCTCGTGGCTTCGTCCTCAGTGGGTTTCCCGTGCACAAAAAAGGAAGCTGCTGTCGGCTCAACTTGGCTGCAGTCATGGCTCGCCTCTCCTTCTCAGAAGTGGGCCTGCTGCTCCTGTTAGTGCTGGCTTTGGTGAGTATTCAATCTACTCTATTAAGTGACTGTAACATTGACACACTGGGGCATGCTGCAGGGCATAATGCAACCTGTCATTGCAGGACAGGGGTTTATTTTTTAAGTGGTCTAATTTGCAATTATTTAAAATGCAATTACTAATGATTCCAAAGCACACCTAGAAAAATATGATTCATGCTTACACTGTTGTTATTATTACTATATTAAGCAGCATGCTCATGTACAGTATGCCAGGTTTTGACAGACATGCATTGATCATGATTTGACAGACAATAGTAAACATAAAAAGGAATGGTTTTTTTTACCCTATTTTGGCATTTCATAATATGTGTGATGTCATGAAGATGTTAAGTACATGGTGTTCCCAGCCCTCCATATAGTTGTGTCTAACACAATGTACACAAATGAATCAAAGAAAGCAAACTAAAACATTTTTTTGTGTAGATAGAAATAAGAAAATGTGTTGGCTTCAGTTCATGGGTGTTTCTAGGGGTAACACTGACCTTGGACCCCTCCTAAAGTACACAACCGGAAAAAATCTGCCCCTTCCTTCAGACTTCCTTACAGAGCCCTTCCTCCAACACACACAAACGCGCACATGACAATGAGGGCACGAGATATGTTTGTGCACAGATGGAAGGCTGACAGGCAGGTAGGCCATCCAGTTATTTTAGCCGGGCTGGCTCAGATGATTGGTCGTGCTTTTAACAGCGCCACGGCTTCCACAGATGAAATATGTATTTATTGTCAAAGCATTTAATGTATTCATTGCTATCGGGATGTTAAGAGCATTCCATGGAATATAACAAAAAGTGTTTCTGAAGTGAATTACCTACCCTACCTTTAAGTTATAAGTTAGCAAAATCAACCAAATGTAGGGGGGGTAAGGGGAAATAGAAAGAGGATATTTCAAACGTGTTATACAAATAAGTTATTGGGCTTTTTCATCAACTAAGATTTGTTGTCAACTTTAATTTACTGAATTTATTTGACAATTGGGCATATTAACACTGACATAACAACAACAATGAATAATGTGTAATATATTTTTTTATATAAATATTTAAGAAGTACAATATAAGAGAAGCAGAAGTTTCAGGTGTGGGCCTTAATTCATTATACTTTTAGAATTTGCTGGACGTGGGCTGCAGTTGTCCTCCGGGCCATAGTTTGGACACCCCTACCTTATAATGTTGAAATCTTGAACACTGTCTTCGTCTCTGTTTACCCGCATTTAATGTGCCACTGTCATAAATAAATGACCCCACCACTGCCCCCCTTCCCCAGTAAAATTGGTCCACTGCTTCAGTTGTGTTACGTATGCTTTGAATACCATTTGAATGAAAGCACTGTTCGTCAGTGCAAGTATCATCAGTATTACCTTAATGTCCATGTTTTGTTTAAAGTTGAATTCATTCTAACTTTGATGGATGTCTTTGTCACTTTGTCTTGTAACATGATGTCACTTGTTCGTTACTGCTTGAGCACTGTTTTTTGGCCCACTAAATCAGAAGTTGATTTGTATGTTGTTTGTCAGGAAATATGTTTGACATAACATGAGAGCTCCAATAACCCACACAAACACTCACAACCACACACACACACACACACACACACACACACACTTTATTTATCTATAGGGTGCCATTTGTACATAAAACAAACACATGAACATACATCGAAGGGCACAGCACAGTAAAAGATGGAAGAAAGAATTATATATATTCGATTAAGAATAAGAGGATGCTTAGGTAAAGGGAGTCCATGGGAGCTTTGAACACAACTTAAAATAACTTGAAATCTGGTGCTTTCTTTGTGGTCTTGGTCTGTACACATGCCGCTGCACAATCTCTAAATGATTTATAGCTTTCTTCTTGAGTAAAAAAAAAATGTTATGAACATTGCACTAAATGTTATGAACATTGCACTAAATCAGCCTGCTAGTAACAAAGACAGGTATAGTTCTCTCAGTATCTCTTTCAGAGATAATTGGTTGAACTGTAGCAAATACAATTTCTACGCTGGTATAAATGTGGCATTCATTTTGTGTTGATTCAAAATTCTGATCTGGATCTAGAGGCATGCTTAGACATTTTGTTTGGGGCTTGGCCACGGACTTTTGGTTATTCAACTCGTCTCTGTTTCTCTCAAAAATGTGTAACCTTTCTCTGAATTACAGCATATGTTTGTATTTGCTTAATGTGCATTGAACCAGTTTATCGATAGGATTGATGTCATTTGGTCTTAGGGTGGTGAACAGTTGTGTATTTTCAGCATAGCTATAGAAATAATTGTGTGTTCTCTGATGATATTTTCCAGTGCGACATATAGAAAGTGAACTGAGCACAGGTGCCACTGCCTCAAAACCATAATCATAGCTTATGCTTTTCCTGATTTCCTTTTTCCCACACATTCATGCTGTGGCTGATCAAATGTATCTGTGCTGTAGTCATTGAAGCTCTTCACATCACCTTTATTCTTAATAATTAGCTCCCAATAGTGGTTCATGTTTAAATTCAAGCTTCTTAAATGTAGTTGGTGCTATAGGGTTGAAATATATATATATATTTTAGCAGCTTTTTATTGGAGCTCTTGTCTTAATTCTAAAGAGGAAGGAAAGATCACTCATAAGACTAAAGTCTTTGGAAAAATGAAGGGATTGAGATCATATTGCCCTTGTTTCACACCTTGTTTTTGCTGTGTGAAGAGTTTGACAATGTTATTTCATATTTGCATATTGGCAGAAAATTAAACATTCAAAAGCAAATTAAATTGTTATGTGTGGTGCTTTCAGGTGCTCAGTGCCGAATCAGGACCGAGAAGGCAAAAGACCTTGAGGAGGAAGAAGAGGGAGTGGATCCTTCCTCCTGCCAAGCTCATGGAAAACACTGACTACCGACACAAGGAATTCATTGCCAAGGTTTGATCCAAATATTATTTCCCACAATTTACATACACAGTCATTATAATGTGTCACTGGCAAAGTGCCCAGTTGGATGAGCTTCAATGTTCCAAATAAAAATAAAAAAACTGGTTTCTGTCACGCCTTTGCCTGCAGTGAGCCAACCTGTTTCAACTGGTTTGAGTCCTCAGCTGTGCTGCTGAGTGATTTGGCCCTGGGCTGCAGTACAGGCTAAAGAGGTGTTGTTTTAACAGAACGTTCCCAAGAAAATGCTGAGATAAGAAATAGGGTAGGGAACATAGTGTACCAGTAACATCTGAGTGTATGTATTATTAGAGAAGCCACGCCTGCATTGGTCATTTATGAGTACAAATATGAGTGTACCCCAAGCAAACCTGTTATTAACGTTTATTTGTGCAGAGTGATAAATATGTATTGCTATAAATTAGCGCTTGGCAACGATTACCATTTTTAATCGTGATTAATTGCATGTTTTTCTTCGATAAATGCGCAAAATTCAATAATGAATTCAAAACCAGTGTATTGCGCACTTTTATTTTAAAAGCACTGCTATAACAAAAGTGCAATAACATTTGGTTTGCAAACACTTTAAACAAATAATATGCTTTTTAACAGCAGTATTCCCTTTACACAGTAGCAGTTAAAATATTTATTGTAAATCTCAACTTCAACATTAATTAATGTAATCAAATATAAATATAAAACCAAAGCTATGTGCCACTGCAAGGGCATTAACATTTTATCTAGTTAAAGAAAAACAAGTTGCCCTCAGAGTCCAGTGAGAAGTAAATTTAACTTTGCAGTGGTTACAAATAACTCTGGTTCTATCAACTCCGCCGTCTGGAAGAGATTTAAAATGTCCATGTTTCTGTCCTGCCACTTCTCTTCTGTTTCGATTCATGTGAGCGCTGCAGCAGTCTTAGGCCCACCCCAAATGCTCTCATTGGTTGAGACGCGTAATGACGCCCATCCTAAGCCAATACTGATCAACATCCCACCCCTCCTGTCTGTATGTGTATTCAGAGCCAGTGAGCAACAGACTTTTAAAATAATAATATTAATTAAAAAACTTTAATGATCAGCCCTAATTAATTAATTTGTTAACTGTCAAAAACCAAAGTGGCTTAGGTTGAACGTCCTGCAACACTAATAGTGGACTGAAGTTCAAGGTTTTGTTACAGTTTCAATCAACTCACTTTGTATTTTAGATTACATTACACTGGATATGGATGTTATCGTCCTGAATAAAATATTGCAAGATTCTTAATGGAACTCTGGATTTAAAGCTTGGGTAGCCTTTGCAGACCATTTACATTCACAAAAACCTATATAAGTTAACACACTACAGGAGAGGGAAACCTGAATAGCAAGTCCATGATTCCTCTGTCTGTGTTTTGTGTCTGTGTCAGATTCGCTCTGATAAAGATTTAGGTGAGCTGGTGGATTATTATCTCACTGGAGAAGGAGCTGACAAGGAACCCTTCAATCTCTTTGTAGTGGACCGAAAGACGGGGTTTGTACGCATCACTGAATTACTGGACCGGGAGAAACGCCAATTCTACAATGTAAGTCTTTCTTTAAAGTTGTACTGTCCTGAAACCTGATGAAGACTGGTGGGAGAATAAAGCTCACGTTCCTTCAGTCATACTGTAGAGCTTTACTGAATGTCACTAGCCTACCCTTGTGCATATATTGTTTTGGACTTTTGTTTCAGATCAGATCAAAAGAGGTTTATTGTCATTATACTTGATATACTATAGATGAGATTTGGTAGGCTTCTCTCTATGCATTTAAAAATAAAAACTAATAAATGTAAGCAGTGATTAAAAACCGTTATAGCAGCAAAGAGAATACAAATAAAGAAGGCACTAGTAACGCCCAAATATTTCAGATGATTGTCAACGTTTTGTGCAAGCAGATTTGTAATATTAACGAAGCTTCAAATAAATGTAGTAATTAACCTGTATGTATGTTTAAACAAGGAAGTTACCTGGCATAAATTCCCACAGACCTTAAGAAACGCATTTGTGACAACCAAGCGTCATAGGGACGAAATATGCTTCCGCATAACAGTTTAGTTTAATAAGTATGTATATTAAGAGACCAGGCTTGGCACATGCACAAAACAGCAGCGATAAGAAAGTGCAGATGTGACAGCTGTGACATCCACAGTCAGGCAATGGATGAAAGTCAATTTACTTTCTTCTAAACAAACCTGCTCAAAAATGCTGCGAGAAGACGCAGGATGCTCCGGAAGAAATCTAGTGAAGCAACATTGAATTGAGGTTTGGGTGTCTGTATTCTATCTTCAAAGATCAATAGTAAAGTGTTTCTTCATGTAACTCATGCAGCTAACAGGGATCGCAAGGTTCAAAGACGGGAAGAAAGCAGAGGATGATGTCCCACTGGCAGTCACGGTTCTGGACCAGAATGACAACACTCCTTATTTTGAGCTGCAAATCGGCAACATCACAGAGGAAAGCAAACCAGGTAGTGTCACATTTTTGAACACATATCAGCCTGCTGCTGTGAGAGAATGATGGAAACAGTCAGAACTCAGAAATATGTTAAATCAGTAAAGCAACATTACAAATAATAAAAGTCCTTTATTTAAAACTTATTTAAAATAATAAAGGAGGACAATATAAATGCACTAAAAGTGCTAAAAGTAAAAGTACTTATTTTTCACAATAGCCCATACCTACAGTAACAAAGCTCAAAACTCAACGGAAACGGGGAAACTAAAAAGTGATGCACGCTAGTGATGGGAATTCCGGCTCTTCTTGGTGAGCCGGATCATTTGGCTCGGCTCACCAAGAAGAGCCGGCTCTTTCGGCTCCCAAACGGCTCTTCAGTTTACTACATATTATACCTTTTATAATTCAATCAAATGTAGCCCTGTTTTGACTCATGATTTATATGTGTACACATATCACTTAAATTATTCAATACATCCTTTGTACTGAAGTATTCAAAAGTAAAAATTACATGTTTAATATCAATTATTTGCTGTGGCCAGTTTTCATTGCATTTACAGACCCTTGTATCTCTCTGATACCACCCAATGAATGCACTGACTTGCTTGAACCACGCTACACAAAGCAGATAGCAACACCTATAAAAAAACCCGAGGTGACAGGGCTTTCAGTGTTGCAGCTCCTAGACTGTGGAACAGCCTCCCAGTATATATCCGGACTGCTGAGTCTATTGAACTTTTTAAATCTCAGCTAAAAACTCACCTCTTTGCACTGGCTTTTAATACTAGTTGAACATTACATTTTTACATTTGTATGTGTTTTTTTTTAATATTTTTCTAGTTGTGCTTTTTATCATGTTTTTAATTATTGTTTTATTATTGTACTCCCATTGTGTTATTTAATATGTATTGCCTGTACAGCACTTTGGTCAACTGAAGGTTGTTTTAAATGTGCTATATAAATAAATAAAGATTGAGATTGAGATAAAAACTTAAGCATAGACATTTAAATAAAGGGGCTACTGTATCGACATTTTAAAATTATATTTAAAGAAAAGGCCCTGACTAAACAGCAGGGCTCTATTTCAGTATTAACTATAGAAAAAAAGACAGCAACAGCTGACATCAAATCTTTGCTGAGCCCAAGGATAATCATAAATAAATGACATAGTGAAAATAAATATATTGCAATGCTCAGTACAGCAGCATCCAACAGTCTCTAATCCTTGGATATTACATGTCACTGCATGCATGCACGGAGCAGCTGTAGCGCGGAGATCATCATATCATTCTGTCTTGTATTACTTAACAACAAAATAACAAAAAAAAACGGCTCGTTCGCGGGCGCGAGCCGGCTCCCGTCGTTCACTTAAAAGAGCCGGCTCTTTGAGCCGGCTCGTTCGCGACCGACACATCACTAATGCACGCGGCTGGGATCGAAAGAACTTGTTGATGATCGGGGATTATAAATTCGGCCATAAAATGTAAATTGTATCGGCATATTTTAACATGTGATGTAACGGCATGATTCCTTCCGATAATATTGCAGATCTGCTGTAAGCTAGCTAACGTAGCTAACCTAGCCATATATTATGAATATACTGACAAAGCACACAATTATGAAACAGGCTTACTCTGCCAACAGTGACAGTTGGACAACTTTATAATCCCTGAATGCCAACAAGCGCTCCGGTCCTAGCTGTGTGCATCACTTTTTAGGTTCCCCGTTTTCATTGTGTTTTGAGCGTCTTGCAGCGTTTTTTTTTCTTAAGAGTTTTGTTTAAATTATATCATATTATAATATTTAATCTTTAATTAACTCAAAAGTTAAACAAAGGCAAACACTGTATGTGAATACTAGCTGTGAACAGATTCTCTGAAATGTTCTGGTTTGTGCTGTGATTTGCTGCAGGAAGCGTTGTTATGCAGATCAAGGGGAATGATAATGATGAAGCTGGAACAATTAACAGTGAGATCAGCTACAGGATCGTGAGTCAGGAGCCCGCAGGCACCGGTCACATGTTCACTCTAGACAGAAAGACGGGCCAACTGTACGTCAAAGAGGAAAACCTGGACAGAGAGGTGAGGTCATTGTATATCAAACACATCTCACATATGTTGCAGCACCTTTCAAAATAATAATACTTAATAAAATGCCCCGACACTCTGGAACAAACTACCTGAATCATGCACGTCCGCAGAAACACTTAACATTTTTAAATCGAGACTAAAAACATATCTCTTTGCTGCTGCTTTTAATTGAGCTGCTCATATTCGAACTACAGTATGCCTTTTAAACATGTATTGTACACTCTGGTGTTTATTTTTAATATTTTATTATCTTTACTTTGTAATGCCTGTTGTAAAATGCCATTATATAATGTGTTTTTACTGTATTTATTCATAAAAAGTATTTTAATTTGTTTTGTAAAGCACTTTGAATTGTCGCGTACGAAAAGTGCTATATAAATAAACTTGCCTTGCCTTGCCTTGCCTAATACAGAGTGGCTGCAAGGTGGTGCGGCCTTCTTTCAATTGGACGGTTGTGGGTTTGATCCCAGCCCTTGCACTCAACATGTCGATGTATCCTTGTATCCTATCCCAAGATACTTTACCCAAGTTGCTCCCAACGGCAAGGCCAATGTTGTGTGAATGTGTGTGAATGTTTGCTTACTACTCTGTAGGAATAAATGGGTGAAAGATGACTTGAAGAATTCAAAGCGCTTAGAGGGGTCGTGGATAAAGTGAAATATAAATACAGTCCATTTACCATTTACCATAATAGAGTTTGCAGCCCTAATCTCCTCAGGCAGGTTGTTCCAAAGCCAGGAGCCCTTACAGCTAAGCAGGGTTCTTACACCTTTTCCAAAGTCAAATTCAAGCACTTTTCAAGCATTTTCAAGGTGCATTTTCAAGCTTTTCAAGCATCTTACAGCTGTTGTAAATTACATATTTATATACACATACTTATACTCAAATGATTATTTCCCTACCTCACATTAAATCAGATGTTCTTTATGCTATAAACAACCAAATGTGTGTTTCATAATAGCATTCTACATGAGGATGAAAAATTTAAATTTTTAGAAAAGAAAACTAAGTTTAATATTTCAAAATGAGTGACCCTTCTGTACGTAGACTGGGCATCCCATATAACCTGGCTGAGCCAATATAAAACAATCAGCCAAATAACTTTTCAATACATTATTGATTACTATTTTTGAGGTACTTTTAGGTTGGCAGTAAACACAAGTCAGAGGTAAATGGTGTACTTTTACTCCACTACATGTATTTAATACCTTTAGTTACTTTACAGATGTGGATGAATGATGTGAAATATAATCAAGTGTTAAATCAGACTTTAGTTCCACCTGGAGTCAATTCACAAGCTACCCTGCAGTATACAAAGCCATTCAAACTAGCTGTACCTTTACCAGCTTTGATAACACTTTAATGATCAATCATTATAAAACATATTATATACAATTCTTAGGGATGCTCCGATCGCCAATTTTGGGGCCGATCGCCGGAATCAGTATCGGCCGATACCGATCGCCGATCCGATCAAGTGGGCGGGGCCTATGGGGATCTTCCATTTAAAGTGATGTTTAAAACTCAGTTAATGGGGCTCATTCACTGGCGCTTCCACAAACCAACCAACCAACATAATTATTACATTCAAATGAAGTACATTATTCAAGTTTACATTAACTTGGGATAATAACACGGGAGAAATTAGCGGAAGCGCTCTCTTTTCCTCTCTCCCCCTCTCTCCCTCTCTCTCTCTCCTGACAGCCCGTCAGTATCTCCTGCAGCTCACTGATCCAGTAATGAGTGACCCGACAGTGAAGAATAAATATATGTATAACTAGTTTAGCTTGTTCCAGAGGTAGATCAAATAGCTAAGTGTGTTAGGTCTAACTCTTAATGTGTGTTCTGCTCCGCTCACCGGTCCGTCACAGCAGGTGGAGCTGCAGGATTTCTGCTTCACACACGTTGCATACCTCTATTTTATTGTCATTTTCGGACACTTAAAATACTGCCAGACTAGTGAAGCCATTTTGGCGAGCTTGTTTTGCCGCGCACAGAGAAAAGTGTCATGTAATTTACATGCAACGATAGCCTAATCTAAAATGCTCTACTACGGCGTACCTTTCGTGTAGTGTGTGGCTCGTCACCGCAGACTCTCGCATCGTTATTGTTGCACACTTTGCAGGAGGCTACTCTTGGGCTTCGCTTGACCCTCGTCTTAGCCATGGCTTGTATTTGTCTTCTGCTAGCCAACGCTCGTTGAAACGGCAACCTCCTGGCATACTGTCATCTATCACTCTCATCAGAATGCCCAGGTCACACACGTAACAAAAACACTTGCCGGTCACGCGCATTGCGCGGGAAGGCCGGAGCGGAGCTGTTTTATGTAAAAGCGAAGCAATTAAGCGCGCTCCGACTTCTTTATTTTCTTTTAATCTAAAAAGCGAAGTAAAGCATTTACAATTTCAAGCACTTTATCCCAAATTCAAGCACCATTCCCAAAATTCAAGCACTTTTCAAACCTTGAAAACACCTCGTACAATTTCAAGCATTTTCAAGATTTTCCAACACCCGTACGCACCCTGGCTAAGGCTCTATATGCTTTGCGTTTCAATCTGTACCTTGGAACAATCAGCAACGACGCATCTCAGGTTGTGGGAGTGGACATAGGGCAATAAGAGGTCTGATAAATAACTCCAGCTATGCCTCTCAGGGCTTCTGAAAGGAAGCCAGGATTCGTGTGATGTGGTCGTTTTTCTAACCTGAGTTAAATTCAAAAGCAGAGTTTTGATTAAGCTGAAAACGGGAGACGGATTTTTAAAATGTATGCCAGGGCGGAGAGAGTAATCAAATTGACTGCTAATTTGGCTGGAACAACTGTTTCAAACTTTTATGGAGTAAGAAATAGTCTGAGCTTGTCTACGTTGAGGTTTTGGTCGAATATCAAGACTTTTGCAGTGCTGAGTGATGGACTGGGACAGAGAACCTATGTGATGACTATTAATCTTTTAGCTGCAGGAAATCCACTTGCAGATGTCGAGAAGGCATTTTAGCAAGTAGACTGTGTTTTGATAGTTTCAGGGCCCCAGGGTTTTTACATAATTTGAATTAAGGCGGGATGAAAATACTTTAGTTGGAACAAGATGTTCTTTGAAATTCAATCAAGGAACAATATACAGCAGCACTGTTTTGCCCTGAAGGTCTGACTCACCCTGCACAATATCATCACATGTCATCAGATAACAGAAGAATGTACCTGTTTTCCCTCCAACAGACTATTGACTTCTACAAACTGGTCATAGAGGGGACTGATATGGGAGGGGGATCCAGCGGCCTAGTAGGGACAGGAACAGTGGAGGTCAAAGTCCTGGACATCAATGACAACATCCCCACCCTGGAAAAATCGGAGGTACACACACACACACACACACACACACACACACACACACACACACACACACACACACACACACACACACACACACACACACACACACACACACACACACACACACACACACACACACACACACACACACACACAGCAACCTATTCCATTACATCCTTACGTTCTCAGGCACCTTGCTGCATTTTTTCAATGACCTTTTAAGGGTACATCTACAAACCAGGATACGGATGTAGTGTTGAACACATGGTTAACGCTGTACACGTATACAAAAAAAAAAGGATGCAACAAAACGACTTTTGGATGTTTTGATTTGTTTTGCTCAAAATGTATTTACTCAAGTACTGCACTTAAGTACAATTTGGAGATACTTCAGTATTTACATTTTATGCAACCTTGTACTTTTACTCCACTACTTTTATTTAATACCTTTAGTTACTTTGCAGATTTGGATTAATGATTTGAAATATAATCAACTCTTAAATAAGACCTTGGAATGTGCCCAGAGTAAATCCACAAGCTACCCTTCAGTATACAAAGTCATTCAAACTAGCTGCACCTTTGCCAGCTTTGATAACACTTGAATGCATCAATAATTATAATCAAAACATATTGAATATATTATTCTGAAATGGGCCAATCTGCAGAATGACTACTTTTACTTTTGGTACTTTAAGTATATTTTGATGCTAATACTTTTGTACTTTTCCTTGAGTAACATTTTGATTGCAGGACTTTTACTTGTAACAAAGTATTCCTACACTCTGGTAGTTCTACTTTTACTCAAGTACAATATCTATACTTCTTCCACCTCTGCTCAAAATAAGTATATATGTTACTTTATTTCAGTTTTGGATGCAAGGTAAAAGGCAGACTTTAAAGGTGGGGTAGGTAAGTTTGAGAAACCGGCTCGAGATACACTTGTTATATTCCATGGAATGCTCTTAACATTCCGATAGCAATGAATATCTAAAGTGCTTTGACAAAAAATCCATAAAAAAAATGTCATCTGTGGAAGCCGTAGTACTGTAAAAAGCACGACCAATCATTTTAGCCGGCCCGGCTAAAATAACTGGATGACCTGCCTGTCAGCCTTCCATCTGTGCACAAACTTATCTCTGTGTGTTGGAGGAGGGGCTCTGTAAGGAAGTGGCAGATTTTTTCCGGTTGTGTATTTTCAAATTCTAGCTCACTCGAGCCGGTTTCTCAAACTTACCTACCCCACCTTTAATGGACTTTGGTTGGAAGGCAATTGGTTGGAAAGTGAGGAATGCAAACCTGCAGTCTTTCTGCAAGAGGTGATGCTACTTGTTGCAAAAATAAGTTTGATTGTGTAGGAGTCTATAAAACAGTGAGCCTACTTGATGTATTACCTCCTTCTAAAATGTGGGCTCTGATCTCACAAAATGCACTGCATATGGAACAGAGTGCTCCGTAAACCCACAGCCAGACACCAGTGTTGTGTATTAGTAGGAAGAGAACATTAATAAAGCACGGGACAGAGGATATGGGTACTAGTTTAGTGGGAATGCTGATACAGCATTCCAACTATATGTTATTCTACGGACAAAATTATTATTATTCCGCCGGAATTTTGCACCTCTTCTCCTCCTGCATTCAACATCGCAGAAACTCCGTTCAAATATCAAAACGTTCAGCTCGGTCGGAAATCGATGGCTATTACTTTTATCATTCATAACTTTCATAATTCCAGAGATACATCCCATAATTCATCACATTTTTAACCATTGAAGTCAATGGAGAAAATCTTCAGACTTGAACAATCTTCATGCGACTTCAACTGCTAACTGTTCATTCATACTTTCACTCAGAAACCTCATTCCAACTTTAAAATGTTACACATCTTTCTGACATTATTTGTGTAACACAACTTTTAAATCTGATTCTTACTTTTAGAGATATTAAACATTGTTCAGACCTTGGTAAAGAGGCTTTCTTCAGATAACTAGAGTGCGTGATGTCACAGCTAGAGGGTAGGAAATCTTGAAATTTGCCTTCATATTGTTTTTTAAAACTGCCATAATTCCCAAACCCTACATTCCTGAGACATCATTTTTCATGACAAACGTAGGAAAACATCTCGTAGCTTGAAAAATGACAAATAATTAGGCAAAAATAATTAAACAAAATGCCTCTTGAGGGCATGAAGTGACAAAAACTTTCAACATGTCTCCATTAAAACCCATTGTAATTTCAGGCTGATATTTCCTCACAGCAGCAGCCGCACACCTTTAGTTAAACTGCCAAAAAGGCCACATTATTAACCCGAAACAAAGTACACAAAAATTACACTTCAGATACTCAACTTCCTTGACATGCTTCACATTTTGAAATTTCACAGATATCTGTTATGGTTCTTCCACAAAACGTTCACATGTAAGAGGTTTATCTCTCATTCAGAACAATGCAAACCTTTGATCTCTACAGAGCTCGTTAGCTCAACTATAAACACCTGTGTAATGGAACACGATGATGTCATCACTCCAACTGACAGCAGTCAGTTCTAACTGTTCATTTCATACACACACACACACACACACACACACACACAAACACACACACACTCTATCTCTCTCTCTCTCTCTCTCACAAGTTCAAATATTCTGCTGCTTTTCCAAGCCTTTTTACTTTCTTTTCTTCACTCATCACACATTCAAGCCCCCAGTGTTCATGTATCATTTCAATCTAAATTCTTCACTTTCTTCTTACACATTACATTTCAGCATATCAGTTTAGCGTCAGCTTTTCAGCATAAAGCATTCCCACTAGCAATTTCTTCAGGAATTGCATTCTCTAGTTTCTTTACTGTTACTCATGCTTAACCACCACAGCATCAACTCCCGGGCATACACTTATTCTCTTAACATTGTATGTTACTGTGGTTACACTGTGCCCCCTATTGGCAGGAGTATATATATCAGAACACAACAACCAGCAAATGTTAGAGAGGTCCTGACTTTTATTTTGGCTATATTGTTGGTCAGCTTGGGGAGGGTGTCTCTCTCGACTGTTTACAGCAGCCGCACTGGATTTTGAAAACCACAAGCTCTGAAGGTGTGTGCTTTAAGCTGGGCAATGACTATCAGTCATATACACCAAATGTTTACGGAACAAGATGGTCTTAAGCTAACCACTTAATGTTTGTCTCAAAGTGCATCAGATCTTTAAAATGGAAACTTTTCTTTAATTATTCCTGTCATTTTTAAAACTGCGACACAAAGCCTATTGCAGAAAAAGTTATATAGCAAGTGAGGTGTGAGAGGCAGAGAATAAAGAGGGAGAGAGAACAAAGGGAAGAGGATATAGAGATGAATGAAAAGAGAGATGGTGTCTGTCGTGTGAGATGTTACCTTTACTTTAGCGATTTAACTAAGCATTGATAACATTCATTTTCAGACAATTTGGGATAATTGTATCCTTTTTTGCATGTCCAGATTATAATGTTGATTTTTCAATTGATAATTTAACTCAGTTGAATCTGAAGACTTAGGCGCATGGTGAAGACATGGTGAAGCTCTTGGTGCAATCCTTGTTGGTCCAAACAGTCCGGAAGCCATCAATGGAAAAGTTATTATTAGTTTTAAATTCTAAATTATTAGTGCTGAGCAACAATAAAACTATTTAATCGCGATTAATCGCATGATTACAAAAGTAGTGTATTGCAAACTTTTATTTGAAAAGTACTGCAATATTAAAAGTGCAATAACATTTGGTCTGCAAACACTTCAAACAAATAAGATACTTTTTAACAGTAGTATTCCCTTTACACAGTAGCAGTTAAAACATTTCTTGTAAATCTCAACTTCAACATTAATTAGTGTAAACAAATCAAATATAAAACCAAAGCTATTTGCCACTGCAAGGGCATTAACATGTTATCTAGTTTGTTGTAGAAGTTACCCTCAGTGATCAGAAAATCCTACTTTGCAGTGTTTACAAATAACTCTGGCCGTCTGGAAGAGATGTAAAATGTCCATGTAAGAGTTTGAGTGCTTCATTAGCATCTACAAGCTAATGTGACATTTTAACTGAACTTTAAAAGTAACATCAAGAAGGCTAGTATCTAGGGCCGTGCAATTAATCATATTTTAATCGCAATTACGATTTTGGCCTGCCACAATTACGAAAACAACATAATCGAAAAAAACAATTATTTTGCTTTGCTAGGTTGTGACAGTGCACTGCAACATATTTGATCTAATTTATTTTGGTCTTATTTATTTGTATTTATCATATTTATATATGTTTAGTAGCTTGTGGAAGTACGCTCCAAAATATTTGTTGATCTTGTTTATTGGTATTTATTATTTTTATATTATTTATTTAAATGTATCATTTATTTTATTTATTTTTGTATTGGTTTTTCAGTTGAATTATACGTTCAGGGTAATCAACAGTTAAAAAGATACTGTTCAAATGATTATTTGTATTTGTTTTAAAGTTCAATAAATTGATTTTTCCAAAGTCAATGAATAATCGTATTTAATAATCGTGATATCAATTATTGACCCAAATAATCGTGATTATGATTTTTGCCATAATCGCACAGCCCTACTAGTATCCCAGGGGTCAAGTCAAGGGTTAAATGACTTTTCTTATCTCAGCACTGAATCTTAACGTCTGCCACATTATGAGAAGCAGCGTTCAGTTTTTATGCAACAGATATCTGATACTTCATCCTCGGTGCTGTTTAGTACAAAGTCTAGTGCTGTCAAGTCCACTGCACTTAATTCAGTCCCCACACCTCCTTTTTTTATGTGGATGAATGTATCTCTTTCATTGTTCATTCGTGCTCCTCAAATGAAGACAAAAAGACAAAAGTACAGTGATGTAAAACATAGCTACTGGTCTCTGCAACTATGATGAGACACATGGTACGGAGAGACCGTACAGCTGTGACCAGTGTGTGGGAAGATGGCGCCTGTGTCGGCTGGCCGCTCCCTCAGCTCTCTGCCTTTAGCTATCCTGTTTTTGTTTTATGTTTGTCAGAATGTCTCTGCTCTGCTCGTCAACGATCGCCAAGCTCTCCTCCACCTCAGACCCTCACTGGAGTAGATATTGCTGCCCAAACCTACATCTGGCAACCATAAATCGTCCCCCCCCCTCTACTGTCGGATATTCCCACCTACCTGCGCCGGTTGCCCTGCATCCTGCCTCGCCGAAAGCGCTTTAGACGACGGGGAAAGCGTGGTGGTGCGCTTGTCCATCAAAAAGCATACCTGACGGCTTCTTCTGGGACTTATCCACGCCTCGGATGTCATGGCCCTCCCGCTGCACGCCATGTGAGGGATCGATGGATTCGCCCTGTTTTTCCGGAGCTGCGGCCTCTGCTGGGCCCGCTGGCAGCTCCTCCTGCCTGACTGACTGCTCCCGGCCCGCGCGGCGTTCAACACGCACATCTTCGTCAGCTGAGACGCACTACACCTTCGGCCAGCCCGGAGCGAAAACTTTGCATGGCTTTGCTAAATGCTTGGTCGATAGCAAACAAAACGTTCCTGCTAAATGACTTCTTCACCTCTCGTGAACTGGATTTTATGTTTCTGACGGAGACCTGGGTCCACGCTGGCGAGTATACACCGTTCTCTGAACTTCTTCCTCCTGACTGTACATTCTTCAGCTCCCCCCGTACCACCGGCCATGGTGGGGGCATAGCATCAGTGTTTAGAGGTAGCCTCCAATGCCGATTGCTTCACCCTGTAACTAGCTATGCTAGCTTTGAGTTGCAGCTTTTTGAACTGAACCCAGCCTCGCCTATACTCTGCGCAGTCGTGTATCGTCCGCCAAAGTGCAATAAGGATTTCATAAATGACTTTTCTGACTTTCTGTCCGGGATCATGGTGAAATATGATCTTGTTTTGATCTCCGGAGACTTCAATGTCCATGTGTGTTGCGAGTCCAAACCTCTGGTTAGGGACTTTTTAAATCTCCTTGATTCTTTTGGTCTCGTACAGTCCGTGGCTGGCCCAACACACAAAAAAGGACACACTTTGGACTTAGTATTATCGTTTGGACTGTCTGTATCTGTGGATGAAATATGTGCAGCAACGCGTATCTCAGACCATTTACCGGTTCTGTTTACAACCTCGATCCCTTCCGCAGGAGTCGAATCACGTGCCCCTGCGCGTCGTCTGCGTTCGATTAACCCCTTGACTGCCTCACAGTTCTCTGATGTTTTTAATGCTTCTCCGATCTGTAAATTAGATGTGAACTGTGCTTTTAATGCTGATGAGCTTATGTCCATGTTTGACTCGACACTAACCCTAATACTGGATTCTGTTGCTCCTTTTACGCTTAGACGCACCAGAGTTCTCTCAGAGCCGTGGCTCAATGACTGTACTCGTGCTCTCAGACGCGCTTGCAGGCGTGCAGAGAGAAAATGGAAAAAGGATAAACTCCATGTCTCCCTAGAAATCCTTCGTGCTTGCCTTTCCGACTACCAGACGGCAGTCAAAGCAGCCAAAACAGAGCGGCCAAAACTCCTGCGGCCTCCCGCGGGAGGTCACAGAAAGTCGGCCCAAGCAATCAATCTGATTGGCTGTTCACACTACCCCTGCCTGCTGGTAAGGACAGTTATTGCCACTCGTCGACTGAAGTATTTGCGGTGTGTTCGTAAGCGGGCGGCGTGGCGGGCGGCGTAGCGGGCGGCGTAGCGGGCAGCGTAGGCGTCCCGACTTTTACGTCAGCTACGTCGCCTTCGGTACGCGTTCTTTGGTCTCAGGTGGGTGTGTAGCGGCCTTTAGACCTGACAGCTGCCTTTGACACTGTGGACCATAGCATCCTGTTGTCACGGCTTGAACAGTCCGCTGGCATCACAGGCTCTGCCCTTGCATGGTTCAGGTCCTACCTGACAGACCGTAGCTTCTCAGTACAGCTAGGTGCCTTCTCCTCTGCCAAAGCCCCTCTTACCTGTGGGGTTCCCCAAGGCTCTATTCTGGGCCCCATCCTCTTTTTACTGTACATACTGCCCCTAGGGTCAATTCTCACAAAACACAATATTCCCTTCCACTGCTACGCCGACGATGTACAGATCTATCTGCCTCTCAAAGCAAATGTCAAACACTCTCTACAGCAGTTGATGGACTGCTTAACAGAGATAAAATCCTGGCTGAGCAAAAACTTTCTCAACCTCAACGAGAGCAAGACTGAGGTCATCTTTTTTGGACCCCAACCTCCAGCCTCTCCGGTTGATATTCTGGGCTCTCTCAATAAAAACATCCTCCCCTCTGTCATGAACCTTGGAGTGGCCTTCACTAGCGCTTTTAAATTCGACAAGCAGGTCAGCACCGTAGTCAAATCCTGCTTTTTTAAAATAAGACTATTGGCCAAAACCAAGTCGCATTTATCTTTTAAAGACTTAGAAAGGGTTATTAACGCCTTTGTAACCTCGAGACTGGATTACTGCAACGCTCTGTATGTGGGTATGGACCAGGCCTCTATTAAACGCCTGCAGCTAGTCCAAAACGCAGCTGCACATTTGCTGACTGGCCACAAAAAGCGTGACCACATCACCCCAATTCTGGCCTCACTACACTGGCTTCCAATTCGGTTCAGAATTGATTTTAAAATCCTTTTATTTGTTTTTAAAGCACTAATGGCGCGTTTCCACTACAGCGCGGAGCACGGTTTAAGAGGGCTGTGACGTCAGCGGCCCGTTTTTGGTTGCGTTTCCACTTGGCCTAGTACCGGCCGGCGGGTCCTAATTCACAGTTTTTCTGGCCTCATAAAATCGTGGGTCTAGGGCCAGAGACAACGAGGCTGAGTCGGACTGAGTATGCTAAACTAGAGAGAGAATCGCTGGCAAGGGGGCTACAACTACAACAAGATGGACATATTTGACCGTGATTTAATTGTAATACACGTTTCAAAATGATGCCGAAGTAACAACATACTGATACCGGTTAGTAAAAACCATGAATTAATGCTTTGACAAGTCTGCAGACAGACGGCAGGCGAAAAACCTTTTAAAATGCGTGTTTTCTAAATGGAGATTGGCTAAGCTAACGCAGTATATGCTCCGACCGTCCACACTCACAACAACGGCCTATACAGACATAAATAAAGCAGCGACTGTATTCGCCATGACACAGGCAGTCTGTGGTTTGTACTTGTTTAACTTTTGTCTAGTTTCTGAACATATATGAGGAGCTGTGAGCTCTGAGTGCTAACAGCTAACGGCTGTGTTGTTTTTCTGGGGTTCTCATTGAAGATGACGTCACGGCTCCGCCTACACTGCGTTACTGTAGATACTACCCCAGTTCCTAAACTGTAATGGAAATGTGCCATAAAGTGAGCCAGTCCTAACGAGGCCTAGCCATACCGAGCGAGGCCGAGCGAGGCCGTGTAGTGGAAATGCGCCATAAATGGGCTGGCTCCGGCCTATATAGCTGAACTCCTCCAGCGCTACACCCCAGCCAGAGCTTTAAGGTCTGCTGACCAGCTGCTGCTGGTAGTGCCCAAGACCAGGCTTAAAACCCGAGGGCACCGAGCCTTCGCAGCAGCTGGCCCTAGGCTCTGGAACACTCTGCCCCTCCATGTGAGGTCGGCCCAGACCCTAGGGGTTTTTAAATCTACTCTTAAGACACACTTCTTCTCCCTGGCCTTCTAGTCAGAGCGGAGCACGACTCCTGACTTTTCCCTGTGGTTTTTATATATCTGTTGTAATTTATTGTCTTTTATTGTGATTGTAGTAATGTGTTTTTATTACATGTACAGCACTTTGGCTCGACCAAAAATCGCTTTTAAATGTGCTTTATAAATAAAACTTGATTTGATTTGATGGTAACATGTAGTCATATGTGGAGAGCGATCATGAACTGGCCTCTTTCCCCAAACCCTATCGGTGGCCTTTTACTTCTGAAGAGTAGATGCTTTGATGATAACTGGAAACATCAAGCAAAAAACACCAGTTTTGTAAACAGAATAGACACATAGCTGACAGTAAGACTTTGACACATACTGTTGATCTAATGTTTCGAATCATATTTTCTGTTTGCAGTACGATGGGGAAGTGGAGGAAAATGTTGTCGATGTAGTTGTGATGAGAATCAAAGCTCTGGATAAAGACCTTCGACACTCAGACAACTGGCTGACTGTCTTCAAAATTGCCAAAGGGAATGAAGATAACTTGTTTTCAATTGAGACGGACAAGGAAACCAATGAGGGCGTCTTGAAGCTGATTAAGGTATTTATGTGACTTTAACACCATTGTACTTTATTTATCACACTAACTGTAACAAGTGTTGAGTGGTGCCCTAACATTTGCTTACTGCTTCGTATCTGTTCTTGTCCTTTCACTCAATTGCTTTTTACTCTACAATCCGGACCAAACAGGCTGTGGATTATGAAGATGTCCAGAATCTTGAGCTTGGCCTGATCGTTACGAATGTAGCTCCTTTTGTGAAGGGTGGTCCTATATTAATGGATGTGGACGTCCAGATTGGAGAGGGTAATCCTATGGCTACTGGAGCGGGTGCTGGAGGCGGAGGTGGAGGCGGAGGCGGAGGTGGAGGCGGAGGTGGAGGCGGAGGTGGAGGCGGCGGCGGAGGTGGAGCTGGACCTGGTCCTGGTCCTGGAGGTGGAGGTGGAGGTGGAGGTGGAGGTGGAGGTGGACCAGGACCAGGACCAGGACCAGGACCAGGACCTGGACCTGGACCTGGACTTAAGCCAGATGTTGGGGTTGGGGTTGGAGTGGGTGTTGGTATTAAGCCAGGTGTCAAACCAGGAACAAAGCCTAAGCCAAATGCACCGGCAAAGAGCTATCCCATTAAGATAGCAGTGAAAAATATTCCAGAGGGTCCAGCATTCATTCCAACCATCAAGAATGTTCCTGTATCAGAAGATCCAAATGAAGCACCTAAAGATGGAGTGATCACAGTTTTTGCTGCTGTCGATCCAGACACAGGGCTACCAGCTGAAGATGTCAAGTAAGTCATGCTGCAGGAAACATTACTTTTACCACTCATTTACCATGTTCACCATCTTAGTTTAGCAATTTAGCATGCTAAAATGTGAGAATTAGCAGTATCTCAAAGTACAGATACAGTAGAGTTGATGGGAATTTGATTTGTTTTACAGTTATTTGCTTTAAAATCACCCAATTAACATTTTGACTTGGTGATGATGACCCAATAGTTTTCAAACCATACCACTCAAAACGAAGTCTATTAAACTAATGGTGGCGTTATATGATAAGTAAGGGGATGACCACATTAATGCTTAGTTCGGAACAAAGACTTGCATAAAAACGTGTTAAAATGTGCAGCAGCTTGCAATTCTTATGTTCTGCAGCTTTCTGAAACATTAAACACGCGACAAGACAAGAAACTTCAGTTTTTCTGTAGCTGGATATCATTTGTTCCATCAAGACAAATTGTTGAAGTGAATATCCTTTTCCTCTGCCATTTCTACCGTCTCATGAGGTTCTATTTGACTTGACCAGTTGACTTCCCTATGTCCTTAGTTTAGCTAGTTGTCTCCTAGCTTTAGCTTCATACTTACACACATAATTCTCATCAATAAAGTGATTACGTGTTTTTCTCCAAATGTTGAAAGTATTACTTTAACCAAATTCTTCTTCTCTTTCTTTGGTTTACTGTATATTACTTATATTAATGTTTTTGTTTATTTTCCTACTTATTTTTTCCTAGTTATGCCAAAGCCTTTGATCCAGAAAACTGGTTTACCATCGATGAAAAAACAGCTGAGATTAAACTCAACAGGGTACCAGACAGAGAGTCACCTTTTGTGGTGAATGGTACCTACATTGCCAAGATTCTGGCGATCACAAATGGTAATCCCCTATTTACTTCATAATCTTGTTGGTTTCTTGATTCATTTCTGTTTGAATAGGCGCTGTCTTTCCGTACTGAAGGACTCTCAATAACTCAACAAAACAGACTTCCATAAAAAACACTGCAGACACTATTAATATAAATATGGAATTATACTAGGACGTTAAGGTTTTCTCCAATGTACAATGCCTTGTTTTTTTATGCTGCTGCAATGCAAACATTTTACCAAATTGGGATCAATAAAGTACTTCTTATCTTATCTTATATTAGAATATGCTGTTATGCACTCCAGTCTTTGTACTGTTAGATTTACTAAACTGTTGTCATCCTCAGACATGCCATCAAAGACCGCCACAGGAACAATAGCCATTCAAGTCCTTGACTCCAACGACCACTGTCCCACTCTGACCACCACCCACAGCACCCAGTGCACTAATGAAACAACTGTCTATGTTACTGCATTTGATGAGGATGCTAATCCTAACGGAGCTCCATTCACATTCAGAGTCATACCTGATGGGACACGAGGGAGCTGGGACGTAGAAGTCGTCAATAGTAAGAAAAAGTGGTTGGAGGCAGAAGAAAAAAACTGATACAAACGATTTTCTTTCTTTTAGCATTATTTGTGATTTTTGTGGTTATATTCTTTTAGTATCACTAAACTGTAATATTACTTAGGTTACAAGCAAAAGTAATAAGGATAATACTGCGTTATTTGACAGTGCTTTTTCCTTTGTTGTCAACAGAGACGAGTGCCGCGCTTCACTCTCGTGATCCGCTCTGGCCTGGTTTATATGAGGTTCAGGTGGAGGTGTTGGATGCTCAAGGTCTGTCTTGCCCATCCAATGAAATTTTTACCGTGGACGTTTGTACCTGTGTGGAGACAAAAGACTGCAAGATAAAGGCAGCCAAATTAGAAACTACTTCAACTGAGCTCTCTGCCCCAGCTATCAGCCTCCTGCTATCGGCAATGTGCTTATTGCTGTGTAAGTTGATCTTTAACAAATGCCTACAGTACACCTTATGAGGGATTGTTACGGATGGGTCGATAACACTATTTAATGTCTGATACCTGTACCATCAGTGCCTTCTTAATCAAAAAACAATCCAATATTTATATATAATGGGGCATAAATTCATCAGTGGTGGTGTGATGTATTGGACTGAATAACATAATTTAATAAGTGCCCCAAATAAGTACGGCTTAAAAAATGATATTAGAGTTACTCCCCATTCACTACTCTCTGTTTTTAGATGTATTCTTAACACTCTTGTATGAATGATATTGATAATATTAAATACTCTGTGTCTCTTGAAATATTAAGATCTTGGAATAATTGTAAAGAAAAACCTTTGAGCTCAACTGAACTTGGCTTGACATTGAACTGAATGTTGTGCTTCTCTCTGCAGTTATTCCTCTTCTCGTGCTGTTCTGTCAGTGTGGAGCAGAACTTTTTCCTGACAGTTTTCGTGACATGCCATGGGAGACCAAAGAACAACTCATATCTTACCACACTGAAGGCAGAGGCGAGGATAAGGTTGGCTTGCAATGTTGTTGTTTTTTATTGGGAAGAAAAGTATACATTAACTTCTTATTTTTAGTTTATCAATACAGAGAATCAGACAATATCCTAATATTATTGAAAATGATCGTCTGTATAGAGATCAAGAGGCAATGTTGGTGAAAGAAAGCAGTGTAGTGGGTCAATGGGATATAAGATCAGTTACTCCTGTTATCACAGGGACAAACAGGAAGGTTTAACCCTGTCTAATATTGCTAAACCTATATGCTTTTCTGAGATAACATTGTCATTCTCCTGTTCTTTTTTTAGGAAGTGCCACTCCATAGTATATCTGTATCTTTGGGTCCCCAAAAGACATTTGGGACAGCACAAGGATCAAATTCCAAAGGCCCTATTACAAATACTATAGAAAATAACCAGACAACTACAATCCATGAGGGATTTTTGGAAAGGTTTCGGGACATCAGGCAAAGTTGGATGGAGGTCGACAACAACGCTCACAGATTAACAAGGGATTTTGGCTATGGTTATGGCAGGCCAACAATCAGCAGAAACACACTACAACACACGACAGCTCACACAACAGCTCTCTATGAGGATATAGCCTTACCTGACGCTTTCCTGAATGATTACTACTCACAGGTACGTTGTTAGCCTTGCATTCAGCTGTTTTTTTCTTTTACAAGATTTCACCTTTAAAGAAATGTTCCGAAATTATTGACACCAGTGTCTGTGCTATTCCTTTACCTTAAACAGAAAGCGATGTGTGCTTTGCCTGCGAAGGACTGTTCTTTGGAGTATAATTTTGAGGGCCAGGGATCCTCTGCTGGATCTGTGGGCTGCTGCAGCCTCCTGGAAACTAACAACGACCTGCAATTCCTCGATGACCTTGGGCCAAAGTTCAAGACTCTGTCTGATATCTGCTCCCCTCCTAAACCAACACCCAAACCTTCCCTGACACACAAACTAGTAGGTGTTGTCCAAACCACAGTAAATAAGGTTGAACCTGTTGTTATGCCCAAAGTTGAGCGAAGCGTTGAAACAGAGCATACTGATGTCATGTCATCTACTAACATCTCCAAATCATCCGTCAATACTGTAAGCACTGCCCATCAATACATGACACTTCCTAACTCTAAGGTTACTAACATCAGTCATTCCACCACTCTGCCCCCTCAAGCTCATTATTCTGCCAATCTGCCCCATCAAGCTCATCATTCTGCCACTCTGTCCCATCAAGCTCATACAGTTTTCTTACAGCCACAGCCAGTTTATTACGCCACCAACCCTGTACTACAGCCCATGCACTATGTAGTTCAACCACAGCTACAGAACACGGTTATGCTAGCAGAGGGGTCCCATGGAGCTAATTTTCCAGGCTTGTATGTAGTCAGTGGGCCCCAAGGCTCTCCTCCTGGGCTAGTGATTCAGGGCTTTGAGGGCCCAAAAAGCCCTGCCAGTCCAGTTAGCCCCACCTTCTTTCTACCTGGTAGTCCAGGTGTGTCTCCGGGCTCAGGCCCTGCAAAGGGTTGGAAAATGATAGGGCCAAATCCCGATGGTAAATACATGTTAGTTAAAGATAAGAGACCAGATGATGCAGGTGAGGTTGACCCAGGCTCGTCTCAGGGCAATTTGCCCAGAGGTGCAATCCTGGTAAAAGAGGCTGCTCCCCCTCAGGGGGTGTTAGACCTAGCAGCTCAGGGGAGAGTGTATGGCATTCTGCCAGGACACACTGTTGCAAAGAGAGGGGGTGCTGTTGCAGTAAATAGCAATTTGGGGCAAACATGGGTTGGGCAGCCAGGAATGGGAATGGCACATGTGGTGACAGTGAAACCAGAAGTCAGACAGGTTGGAATGTGGCAACCTGGGATGACTCAAGTTGGCATTAGGCAGGTAAGTACAAACCAGTACCAAGAAACTACGCAGTTGCAGCAAACAGCAGATACCAGTGGTATTCTAAAAGCATCAGGAATTAGTTCACCAAATGAAGACAAGACTACAACAGTTGTAAATACCATCATTTCAGCAGAAACCCATCCATCAAACGAAGAGGTGTTGATAGAAAATCAGTTGAAGTATCCAGTTCAGAACATGAATTATGAAATGGTTGAGGAAAAGCATGATGTCCCCTACATATCAATGCCTCTCGAGACATCACTTGATGATGAGGATCCTGGTAGGATGGTCCAAACTGCATTTGAAGACAAATTGGGTATCCAAGAATGTCCTACACAAACATCAGAAACAGCTCCAACAAACAAATGTACAGATATGGTAAGTCAAACCACAGAATCCAATGTCCCACAACAAAACTCAGTGGAATCAGAACAGCAGGAAAATCATGTTCCTGCTAAAGGTTTTTCAGAGGAAAATATATCTCTGGTCAATCAAATGTCGACCACAGAAGTGTGCCAACCTGGATCAGATGTCATTGATTTAGTTAATACAGGCAGAGAGAGTATAGAGACATCAACAATTCCCCAAGGAGAGGGATCCACATCTACTTTAGAACACATCAACATTGTAGACGATCAAATACAAGATATCACAGAAGTAAATGTGGACAGTCAAGAGTCATTGAAAGGAGTCGTAAAAGAAGGAAAAGCTGTTCATCTCACCATAGTTGAAGGTCTAGAGGACAAAAGTCAGGAAGTTGGGTCAGAACCTCAATTAGATGATGTGACAGAGGACCAAATGGACAGGGATCTGGAGGAAGATGTCAGTCCAGCAGAGAACGTAGTGTCAGACATAGAAACAAATCAGGTAATTGCCACCTCTAATAGTATCCAGGGAAAAGTGAGTATGGAGGAAATGACTGCAGATAGTGTAATCAAAGTCAGTGATTCACATGAAGACGTAAAGGCTCAGGAAGAGCAACTGCTAGATTCTGATGTAGGACTCGATAGTATGCATGACAAATTGTCAGCAACTCTTCCAAACATGTTTTCAAAAGTGACTTTGAATGCATCTGAAGTTAAGTTGAACCTCGAACCAGAGTCAATGCCAGAACCACAGTTTGGTCAAAGTGAATGGATTATGATAGACAAAGGTAATGAAAAGACAGATAGTGCTGATGAAGCAATAACATCATTGCAAACTGTCAGCACTATTATCCTTGGTGATTCAAATCTGACATCAGCCACAGAAGAAATAACCAATCAAGTGCAAAAAGAGGTGTCTAATGTGTCAACCATGTCAACATTAGAGCAACACATGCATACAGCAAAAGACAATTGCTGTGGCCACCAAGAAGAAGAAAGTGGTACAGATCAAGTTGATGCAGACAGTATGGAGAGAAGTGATGGAGAGAAAGAGAGTATTATGGAGGAAGGAGTGCCACAGCAGAGTTTTAGCACCTCTGACCTAGATGAAGACACTGAAAGACAAGATGCTTTCAGTTCTCAAATGGAAGATCATTTAATTTCAGATGACTACATTATTGATGAAGAGAAAGGTGAAGATTCTGTTGAAGCAATGGTGTCACCGGAACAGCAATATGTAAAATTCTCAGATGAGCAAGCTGAAGTGAGTACAGAAGGAAATGCATCATGCATGAGTTCTCGAGTTGATCATACCTTAACCTCAGATGATAACATAAATGTTCCAGAGGTAGAGGAGGAGAGTCTTGAAGAGGGGACGACATCCATAGAGCAAAATGTTAGCATCATAGACCACCAAGATGAGTTTATTGAAGGAGAAGCTGTGTCAGGAAGAAGTTCTTCTTTGGAGGATCCTTTAGTCTCAGAAGAGAGTAATGATGATGAGGAGAAAGGTGACATTTCTGTAGAGGCAATGGTATCACCAGTACATCAACATTTAAAATACTCAGATGACCAAGGTGAAGGGAATGCAGAAGGAAATGCAACATGCATGAGTTCTCGAGAGGATCATAACTTAATCTCAGATGATATCATAAATGTTCCAGAGGAAGAGGAGGAGAGTTTTGAAGAAGAGGTGTTATCCATACACGAAAATGTTAGCATCACAGAACCCCAAGCTGAATTTATTGAAGGAGAAGCTGTATCAGGAAGAAGATCTTTGGAGGATCCTTTTATCTCAGAATACAACAATGTTGTGGAGGAAGAGCTTTCAATTGTACATCAAATGTCTTCCATCTCAGATGAAGACAGTGTAAAAGAAGATGCATCTAACACTGTTCAAGTAGAGGATATGCTAATCTCAGGTGACAGTGATGGAGAGGAAGAAGAGGAACCGGCCCCTTTCATACAACAAGACAGTAGTTTTGCTGATGACCAAGAAGAAGAGAATGGAAGCGAAGACGCACCAGACACAAGTATTTACGTAGAGGAGGAGAGCAGTAAGTTGAACCAGCAATTAGAAGACAACTCTCTGTCTTGTCACACTGAATGCTTATCTGAGGATCATTTTGATTTAGCAAGTCAAAATGTAGAGATTAATCCGTTGCCAGCATCGTCAAATGTGGGTAAAACTCTAGAAATACCCTGTGAAGTTACTACACATCAAGTCAGGCAAGGTTTGGACTCTTCTCAGGTAGGAGACATAGCTTTGGATATTCCTGATAGAGAAGATACTGTTGGTCAGGCGTTAGAGAAGGATACTAATATGGAGAATTTGGATTCTCCTGTTATATCTTCTGAGGGAATTAAATCTTCCAGGGTTGCAACAGGACAGGTTTCTATGTCCAGTGAAGATAAAGGGGCCAAAGTTAAAATGTTTGAATCTGGAGATATCGCTTTTGAAAAAGGCATGACAGAGGTAACTTTTGATTTCGCGATTAGGGAGGGATTTGATGACAGTGCAACTGGTGCATCTGCTCAGGTAGCACCAACATCTTATTCAGAAATTAAAGTGGTAGAGAAGACCCTATCTTCAGTGTCAGAATCAGACCCAGACTCAGGAGAGACAAGAACTTTAAGTTCCATTGCAAAAAGTAAGGTAGATGAGGAGGCTGGTAACCTCGTTCAGAATGAAACTCTGCAAGTAACTGGAGAAGCAACAGGGGAAGGCCCATACACTGTGGGGAAAACTCTGATGGACGATGTGTCAAGAGCTTCTGATGACACGCATGGGGCTGAAGCAATTGGTGTTGAAGTGAGTCCTGTACAGTTTCAGACAGTCATGAGCCCAAATCCTCGTAACAAATCAAGAAAGAGCAAAGAGGATTCTAAGAAGAATCCTAAAAGTCCAAAAAGCCCCTCTGGAAAGTGTAAACAACAGTGAGTACTCTGAATTCAATGTTGCATTATCAACTATACAGAAACCCATACCATTATATGTAGAGGTCTGTTTAAGGTCGAAATGGGTGAAGAAGAGGGAGGTGCAACAATATTTAGGATTTTCTGTCTGTAAGGCCAAAATGGCCAGGCAAATTCAAGGAACAACAAGAAACTTGTTGTTTAATACCAAAATATGAACCTGCTACGTTGTTGCAAAAGCAAGCTGTGTCATGTCGTGCCTCTTCAACGTACTACCCAGGTGCCCACTCCCCTTACTTAAAGTGGACCTATCATGCTATATTTGAATAATATAGTGTAGGACCATACCTATATAAGGCATATTTATACTTTTTTTTTTTCAAAATACCAAACAGATCATGCATTTTAGCCATGCCTCATTTTGCTCAATTTGACATTTTTTAGCTCTTTAGTTGCAAGGGCAGATTCAGTGAGAACAGCACCATCTACTGGCCTGGCATATGTACTACAGCGTCTCCAGCGCTTTCGAACGGCAATGGCCGTGGCTGTCTCCTCCTGATTGGTGGAGTTGGCCCAATAGCCGTAGCGCCACTGTCCTGACGTCAGGACAGTGTTCAAATCTGGATCAGTTTTTATCAGATCCGTTGCAGCCCCTTTTTTTAGAGATTTGGGTATGGAGGAAAATAGAGAGGGTTGTGTTTTCTGACACTTGGTGAGTTCCCTGGAACACCGGGGACACATATTCATGTATAAAAGATGTACAAAAGTGCATTTTAGGTCCCCTTTAAAAGGGGACCTATCATGCAAAATGCACTTTTTTATGTCTTTTATACATAAATATGTGTCCCCGGTGTGTCCGGGAACTCACGCAGCGTCAGAAAATAAAACCCTTTCTCCTTTCCTCCGTACCCAAATCTCAAAAAACGGGGCTACAACGGAGCTGATCCAGATTTGCGTCCGATATGACGTAATATAGGAAATGTAGGCTGGCTTTACACCTACGGCCCTATCAGAAACGTTGCTATCAGAAACAATGCCCGACTGTTTTGGACGTAATATGCTCGGTGTATGTTTACATTAGCATCACTAACACTCAGAGCTAACCTGTACGGCACAGAGCATGTGTGTGAAAAAGCAGGAAATAAAAAGGAACTCACCTTGTGATATAACCGGCAAGAAAGAAAGCCTTTGAGCTCCATACTGTTTCAGAAATAATCCTTGATAATCCATGATATGGCATTTCATCACCGCAGTATCTGCCGGTAGAATCCCCCGCATGAGTTCAGCTCCCTCCTTTTTTTTTATCAATTTCTTATTTTTTTTAAAGCTTTATACCCCAAATTAGCACTTTTGAAACAGGAAGTGAAATAGAGGGATATGAGGCATGGCTAGAATGGGTGATCTGTTTGGTATTTGAAGCAAAACACTTCATAGACATGTTTTTTATATATTTGTATATATCTGAGACCTATGCTATTGCCTAAAAATAGCATGATAGGTCCACTTTAATCAGAACAGAATTTTACCAGTTTGGTGAGTACGCTCTCAAAGACAGACAATTGCTAGAGTGTGTGTAAAAGGGACCTGCGGACAGAATCCGGACCTGAATTTTACATTCACACACGAGTGATCGATGGATTGATACAATTCAACTGATGACAGGGATTGTCAAGTCAGGCCCGCACATCAGATATTTGCTTTTTGTTGCAGTGATTGGGCTGTGTGGGGCAGACAGGCAGAAAGTAAAGTGAGACACAAGTAAAGGCCAACACCTATGTCAAATTCTCACTCCCTGTGTAAGCTATTTTAGCCCAGACAGCACAAGTGTATAGACGGTGTGTTGCACTTTATAGTTTTCTAGGGTGAGGGGGTTAACCAACTCTCCCTAGCAGTTTTTAAGGAGTTACCCCTTTACCGAGCCTTCTAAAGCTCCAAATAGCACAAAGAAGTTTATTTATGAACTTTAATTCCCAGAAGTTGTTCAATAAGATGCTAGTTGACTGCATTCTTTGGGACAGGATACTACAAAGACAAGAGTGACAAAGATCAAACACAGATGAGTTGAGTTGAAGTAAAATTGGGTTTTCACACAAAGTGATCCAACGTAACTTTCGGTTACAAGTCATTTGCTAAATGGATTGCATACATTAGTGCTGTCTGTAAGAAAATACCTTGTTGTGCGGATGTTTTGTTTAAAGTTTAAACTAGCATAAAATGGACATTTCTAATTTCAAGTAAAGTAAGTGACTAAAAACTGTACAGAAAGCTACTTGAGTGAATATATTTGGCTACTGTCCACTAACCATGACCATCCACAACCATCATTCTTAGATCCCATTTTATTATTGTATTACAGCATTGTTGTCTTTTTAATGTAAGGCTCTCATTTGTGCATGCAGAGCTGAAATTCTCCTTTGCGAGGCTTCTCTTTGAGTTAGAATAAAATGCCATTACCTGTCCCATATCTTCCATTTTGTATCTGTTATTATCTTTAGTTTTTTCTTCACTATATAACCATGTTTTTATTGAAGCCAAATCTTCTAACATTCTTTGAGCTGAATGTAAATGTGAACAAGTAGCAGAACCTGTTTAACTAGTTAAAACATAAGAAACCAAGCTGGATTTATGAGCATATTTTTCTGCATCTGCCTTTAGGAGTAACGGTACGTCTACACAGCAGCGTTAAAAAAATCTTGGAGGTGAGCGTATCTGAAGCTTGGGGATTTTTTGCGAACAACCAATCACATGAATCTCCCGCCCGCGACATACGAAGCAAAAAAGCCCGAAGTAAACTGGATATAAACTCCCCAAAACAGGCGAAAACATACTACTGTCTCTGCCACCTCCCTCCATGCCTGGCTCCTCCGGTTTATATCCCGGTAGGTCTGGTCATAAAGCACCGGGTGATTGATTCGCTACCGCTAATTTCTCCTCCATTTTTTGGAATATGAGGAAATGACCTGCAGTATGTCTCTCCCAGCATACACGCCGTTTGATTGGCTAGAGCTTGAACTGCCAGATTTGCGTACACGGGATTTGATTGGCTGCCGCTTCCACCTCAGCTTCAAAAGTTGAACATTGTTCAACTTTGAATCTTGAAAATCCTGAAAATCTCCGCTCGCCTGCCCACAATGCATTTCGGCGAAAAGTGAGGGAAAGTGACGTCACCCCATTCAATGTGAATGGGCAGAAGCGTTTCAAGATTTTTTTAACGCTGCTGTGTAGACGTACCGTAAGTGTGTGAAAGGTTTTTGGTGATTTTATCTACTCTAAAATATTCAATGTATCTTTTTTTATATAATTTGGGATTCTTGGATACTGTCATCATTGCCTTTAAGTAAATCAGTTTGATATTACCATATGGTGTAATGTATACAGTAAAACATTGGTGAAATGTGGGTTTTCTAAATATTCAGATTTTTGTGTAATAAAGACTTGTTTTCAGTTATTAATGAAGTCACTGCATTCTTTCATGCATTAACCTGTTAAGCCCTGAGCCTGTTTTTCAGGTCTCAGGCTCGAAAATGACATTCCCAGAACAAATGACCATATCTTCCCTTCTAAAAGGGTTAAATTAATAATCTTTGTTCTCAAAGTAATGATAAACCTGTGAGTTGGATGTAGAAAAGTCAGAATCAATATAGATGTTTTTTATTTTAAAGAAAATTCAGATTGAACATAGTAAAAAACTGTAAATTATAGTGTCCGTCCAAAAATTCTTTTTTACTTATAGTGAAAACTACCCTTGGATGATGGGTTAGTAGACTAAAAGCTTCAGGAATCCAAAGTACAACATATAATAAGTACCCTGTATCAAGATTTATGCAAAACAAGTGAAATTTGACATTTTTAGAGAGATTTAGCACAAAAAAAACACTTCTGGGGTCATTTGGGTGGATTTTCCATATCTCTGGCATATCTTGGTCGATTTTGATGAATGAAATCTCTTTATAACCGCTAGAGTCAATTGCCGCGTTCACACCGGAGTACATTTCACCGTACTTTTCGCGTTTAGTTCCGTTAGTACCCCTTATGTCGCGTTCACACCAAAAAGAGCACTTAATCTCGGGAACTTTTACCCCCATTTTTAGTGCCTGCTGAGAGATGGTACTTTCCTGGGGGAAAAAAGTGCCCCAAATCTGATTGGCTGGGTGAATTGCAAACCACGCCCCGTACAACTCTGAAATGTTTTGTAGAGCCGCCATTTTATTATCCTGGCATTAGCATTATTAGCATTAGCATTCGCCCAGTGCACAAACGCAGAGAGACTAATTTATGGCAACACAAAATAAAACATGGGAGCGGTGGAGATGAGGAGGTGTCGGCGTTCTGGCGATTTACTCGGAAGGCTGCTGGGAGTCCCAGCAGCTTCTACTGAAGCCAGTCCCCAACTCCGGGGACTTCCGGCCGGTGACTCCGGGTGGCAGTATACGCCGTGAAGTTGTTTGCGGCCTGCCAGTAAACCCAAAGCAGAAGAAGACGAAGTGACGTCAGCGGCTCATTTGCGTAATCTTCCCTCAGGGAAAAGTACTCGATCTGTAGCGATCTGTACTAAATGCCCTGGGGTAATAAGTGCCGGGGCACTGAGTGCCGGCACTAAATACGGCAAAGTACTTGGTGTGAACGCGCCTATTGGAATCGAGGGGAAGTTCTACACACACCAACACATTAACAAATAAGGAGTGAGAGTGACGCGTGGCCAAAACCGGAAGCTGCATACACTCTGTTGGCTACCATTAGCAGCTAACTTTTTTGCTCCGATTTTTACATGAAAATGGAATTATGGATTATAAATAATTTTTTCAAAGCCACAGATACATTATTAACCTATGGATCAACCGATTCAGCCGCGTTTTTATGGGCTCAGAACAGTCTCATAATACACACATGCACACAGAAGGATTCACACTTGTATTTCATGATCCGCAAAAGGATCCACACTTGTATTTCCGGATCCACACTTGTGTTTTTCAATGCACACACAAATGTGTTCCGTTTCATATACATGTAAATAAAATCCAAATACAGAAAAAAGTTTTACATATGTATTTTTGATCCTCACATATTTGTTTTCCGTTTAAATCCCCTGAACCTACAAACACAAACCGCTTTCTGTGCATGGATCGCTGTGCATTCGTGTGTGGGTTTTTTGAGACTCCCCTGACGGTCACCCGATTCGTACTTGTAATTTTTTCTATCTATAGCCAATCAGATGTCTCCTTCGTTCTAAGCCAATCACATGAGCGCCTCCCCACGAGGGTATGATTTATTGCGTTCATGACACTTCATATACGCATTTTGCGCTGTCCGGAGCAGGGTTTCCGCAGACAGAATTTATTTTACCGGACAAATTTGAAATTTACCGGTCA